GCGTCGGAATAGAGACCCACATAGCTGCCCATTGTTGGGTTTTCCTCAACTAGAAAAACGTTTAAAGAATATTGATCATCACACCGCAAAGAACTATATCCGCTATTACGGGTTCTTCTCTTTTTTCCTTACATCACGTTCGTGAAGAACATGCGTTTGTCGGCAATACATTTGTCAAATGAAAAGACATTCAGTACGTCTGTTCAGTTACCTCAGGCAAGCCTGGTTAGGCAATATGTGCACCGAATTTTTGTTTCAAGGGTTTCAAGCTCAACTTTGCTCTATGTCAGCCAATGTACGATAAATATTTGATAAGGATGAAAACCGATAACACTCGCTTTGAAATTGGCAATTTGCTCCCGTTGAAAGATTAGAGCTGTCAAGTGAAAGTCGTTTTCCTTTAACAGATAGCCGTGATTTTTCTCCAGGTGCAGAAACAAATATCATTCTCAAGTTCTCACTTAGGTTATTTTTTATATTTATCCAGTTTTACTCACTGTTTCGTCTAGCTGTTAGAAACTTATTGTATCTGTGTAAAATAAATAAGCGATTTGCCCGTCTCAAAACAATCGCAAACATATGATGCCTGTACTTCAATGTTCTGTCAAAGGGTTCTAAGTTAGCGGCAGGACTATCACCACTGAGGTAGAGTCAGGACCAAATTTTGCGATGGCAGTCAATTGGATCACAATCACGACAGCCTCCTCTCCGCAGCATAAGAACCCCTGTCCGCTCTGAAAAAATGGACATTTCATGAAAGTTTATGTAAATTGAATGAAGATGAGAAATAAAAACAGTCTAAAATAGTATTATTCACTCCAGACTTACCAGAGACAAACGTTGCCACCGTTGCGTTGACACCTGGTTCCTTACGGGCACCATTTTTATCTCGTAGATATACGTGGAATTCATACTCTGTTGATGAGTTAAGAGATTCTACAGATGCATGTCTTTCTGCTGTAATTATTGGCGCCCGATCACCTGGGGTCACAGTAAATTCGAACTCTTGACTCTCGTTATCTGAGCGCGGGCTTGCATCCCAGGTCAAATCAATTTGGGTAGAACTTTTGGTTACCGCATTCACATTCTGTACGTTTTCTTCGGCTGCAGGCGGTGTCGTTTCAAATGTACAAAAAGTAAAAGTTCAGATTTGGGATCTCTCTTAGAAATCAATATATGAAATCGTATATTTAATTTTTTTGTAAAAAACATACTAGTGGGATACGCGCATGCGATCCGCTATCACGGGTTTTTCTTTTTTCCTTATATCATGTTCGTGAAAAACGTGCGTTTGTCGGCAATATATTTTCAAAGGATGGGACATTTAGTACGGTTGTACCTCAGGCAAACCTGGTTAAGCAATATGTATACCGGATTTTGGTTTCAACGGTTTCAAGCTTAACTTCTATCTCTATCAGCGTATGTACGATAAATATTTGACAAGGATAAAAACTGTTAGTACTCGCTTTGTAATTGGCAATGTGCTCTCATGGAAAGATAAGAACTGTCAAGTATAAGTAGTTTTCCTTTTACAGATAGCCGTGATTTTTCTCCAGGTGCAGAACCAAATATTATTTTCAAGTCCTTACTTAAGTTATTTTTTTATATTATCCAGTTTAACTCACTGCATCGTCTAGCCGTTAGAAACTTATTGTTTCTATGCAACAATATAAGCGATTTGCCCGTTTCGAAACAATCGCATAGATATAAATCCTGTACTGCAATGTTTTGTCAAAAAGGTTCTTAAGTAGCAACAGGCCTATCACCACTGAGGTAGAGTCAGGACAAAATGTTGCAATGGCAGTCAAGTGGATCTTAATCACGACACATTCTCTCCGCAGCATAAAACACCCTCGTCCGCTCAGAAAAGATGGACAATGCATGAAAGTTTATGTAAGCTGAATGAAGATGATAAATTAAAACTAAGTTTAATACAATTCTTCACTCCAGATTTACCAGGGTCCAACGTTCTTGCCGTTATTTTGACACCTGGTTCCTTACGGGTACCATCTTCTTGGCGTAGATATACGTGGAATTCATACTCTGTTGATGGTTCAAGATCTTCTACCTCAACCCATTTTTCTGGTGAAGTTATTACCGGCCGATCACCTGGGGTCACAGTAACTTCGAACACTTGAGGCTCATTATCTGGGCTCGGGCCTGCATCCCAGAGCAAATCAATTTTGGTAGGACTTTTGGTTACCGCCTTCACATCCTGTACGTTAACTTCGGCTGCAGGCGGTGTCGCTTTAAATGTAGAAAAAGAAAAATTTCAGATTTTGGATCTCTGTTAGAAATCGATAAATGAATATACAAGTGAGACACGCGCATGCGATCCGATATCACAGGTTATTGTTTTTTTCCTTGCATCATGTTCGTGAAGAACATGTGTTTTTCGGCAATAAATTTATCAAAGGATGAGAGATTAATTACGGCTGTCCAGCTAATTTAGGCAAGCCTGGTTAAGCAATGTGTGCAGCGGGTTTTTGTTTCAAGGGTTTCAAGCTCAACTTCTCTCTATATCAGCCTATGTACGAGAAATATTTGATAAGGATGAAAACTGATAACATTCGCTTTGAAATTGGCAATGTACTCCCATGGAATAATCAGGGCTGTTAAATAAAAGTGGTTTTCATTTTACAGATAGCAGTGAATTTTCTCCAGGTGCAGAACCAAATATTGTTTTCAGGTCCTCACTTCGGTTAGTTTTTTTTAAATTTATCCAGGTTTACTCCCTGCTTCATCTAGCTGTTAGAAACTTATTGTTTCTATGCAACAATATAACGATTGCCCGTTTCGAAACAATCGCATAGATATAATTCCTATACTTCAATGTTTTATCAAAAGGGTTCTAAATTAGCAACAGGCCTATCGCCACTGAAGTAGAGTCAGCACCAAATTTTGCAATGGCAGTCAATTTGATCTTAATCACGACAACCTCCTCTCATCAGCATAAAAACCGTTGTCCGCTCAGAAAATATGGACAGTGCATGACAGTTTATGCAAAGTGAATGAAGACGAGAAATTAAAACATAGTTTAGAAGATAATTCTTCACTCCAGATTTACCAGGGTCCAACGTTTTTGCTGTTATTTTGACACCTGGTTCCTTACGGGTACTATCTTTTTGTCGTCGATATACGTGGAATTCATACTCTGTTGATGGTTCAAGATCTTCTATATCGACCCATTTTTCTGTTGAAGTTATTGTCGGCCGATCACTCGGAGTCACAGTAACTTCGAACACTTGGGGCTCATTATCTGGGCTCGGGCCTGCATCCCAGTACAAATCAATTTTGGTAGGACTTTTGACTATCGCCTTCACATTCTTTACGTTTCCTTCGGCTGCAGGCGGTGTCGCTTTAAATGTAGAAAAAAAAATTTCAGATTTTGGATCTCTGCTAGAAACCAATATATTAAATGTTATATTTAATTTTTTTTGAAAAAAAATATACTCTTGGGAGACGCGCATGCGATATGAATGAGGGCTAGTGTGTATAGGAATTGGCGCATTGTGCTCTGGAGATGACTTCGCGTAGAGAGGTTTCCAGGACAGGCTTCTGGCAATTTGCACTAACAAGGCATGAACTTAACTGTCACGCATATTTATGCATTTTCGAATTCCTCAGGTAAGCATGAGAGTGCAGGGTTGAGTGGTCTGCTCCTGACTCGCCAGTTTGGATATTTTTCTTCGCGTTGGTTACGCTTTTGCGGTCCAACAGCAAATCAACACTGCCATGTGTTCACGCAAAAAACTTGGTGTCAAAAGTTGGCGCGAGCTTGCAGGCGTGTCTGAATAAAGTGTAAAGTAAGAATGAAAAAACATTACGATATAACATGCCTGGTAAGTGAAATTCTCAAAAAAAGAAATGCAGGCCATTAAGGGTAATTATGTAGTTAAAACTTTAGAGGGATCTCCTTCTCCAGCAAACGGCAGAAGGAATCCCCGGTTTCAACAAAAGTACTCAATACAAGAGATAATTAAATCGAGTGCCTTAAAAGTGAACAAAGTGACCATTAAAGAGCAAGGAGAGAAAGGACTGATGATAATGGATGGAGGTATAATTCGACAATAATGACATCTTCTGTAGAGCACACCAGTAATATTGCCGAGAACCACACGGCCGGGCAATAATCTCCAAAAAAAATTCTACGCAACATCGTGCTCTAGTGTTGAATTATGTAGAACCCATTAAAAAAAGACTTGACGGATTCAAAATACTTCTGGCGAACTACGTCCTGATATTACTGCAATAACTATTCTGTGGCTAGGCAAAGATGGCAAACACTTTGAAATGCAAATAGACGGTTCTCAAGTGCACATGCGTTATCGAACCAAACAAAGAGATGGTGTAGTTATCCCGTATATAAGTAGTCCAGTTGAATTTAGCCTGTGTAAAGGACCATGATCTGTGGATTTTACAGTGACATCTATTGGTATCTAAAGCTGAAAACGTTACTGCTAGCGTTGCACACAGGCCTCCAAGTATACCTGCAGACAAATATCAAGCGTTAATTACTCGA